ATTCATCCAAAAAAAATTTAGTAGCATAATGCATCTAAATTCTGTCAATCAATTGTAATTTAATTAATAACAATAATCTCCCTTAAAAGTATATTTCATAAATAAAATAAAAATGTTCAAGTAGTTTCCTCAACTTTAATCTAATTATCAACTACAAATACTCCATAATTCTAATATAAATAAGGGAAAATGACAATAAAGTCCCAAAAGATCAATTTTATACGAGTTAAGTCCCAACTAATTCTAAAAGGCCAATAAAGTCCCAGAGTCCTTAAATGGTATTTTGATGTCACAGGAAAAGACCGAAACACCCTTCTTCAAGTAAAAGCTCATTTTCTTCTCTGCCTGAATGAGTCTCAGTGTGCGACGCGAAGCTCTGTTCTCTGGGTCTACGTTCTTTGATCCATACGGTGAACGTGGGCTTGGTTGGGCTAAGGGAGATTGATGTTTCTGGGGGCAGCACGCATAGCCGGCAACTGAGAGTTGAACACTTGAAGGAGAAGATAGAAACGTTGGCGGCGGTGACAGAAGTGAGAATCCAAATTTTAAAGGATAAAGCTTCAGTAATTTGCAAGTGAGAAACTAAATTTTGCAATACCCTTAGAAACAATTTGCAACTGGTACTCCAAATTTTGAATCGAAGAACTATTAAATTCGTTGAAGAGTTAAATCCTTTAGGACAAAGCTCCAGTAATTTGCAAGTGAGAAACCAAAGTTTGCAATACCCTTAGAAACAATTTGCAACTGGTACTCTAAATTTTGGATCGAAGAACTATTAAATTCGTGGAAGAGTTAAATCCTTTGGGACAAAGCGCCAGTAATTTACAAGTGAGAAACCAAATTTTGCAATTCCCTTAGAAACAATTTGCAACTAGTACTCGAAATTTGGGATCGAAGAACTCTAATTTGTGAAAAACAACATGGGACTTTATTGGCCTTTTAAAATTACTTGGGACTTAACTGATATAAAATTAGTCTTTTGGGACTTGATTGTCATTGTCCCTATAAATAACTCCAATTCATATATTATCTATAATATTGATTATTAAAAAAATATATATGAAATTTATTCTCAAATATATATAAATATATCAATATATTACACTATAAATTAATTATTAAAAAAATACCTTCACAGTGTAGTCTTCACGGCAGAAAACGAAAGTCTTCACGGCAGTAGCGGAGGTCTTTGCGGCGTTGCTTCCTCAGCTGTACAGCAATGACACACGGCTACAACGGAAGTCTTCACGGTGTCGCTTCCTCCGGTGTACAGCAGCCGCACAGATCTGGAACAGCAATGTAGATCTGGAATGGTGATGCAGGAGATGGCGGTGACGGTGACAGCAGCACAAAAACAGAGACAAATGGCGCGACATGACACAGAAATGAACAAACAGTGATGAACACTAATCTGGAATAATGAACAGCAGCAGACAATGATTTGGAACAGCGAATAATGGCGAACGACGATTTGAAATAGCGAACAGTGGCGGACGATGATCTGGAACAGTGAACAGCGACGAAAGATAGACTGATACAGTGATGATCTGGAACTCGTTGGGAACGCACAACCTCAGCAAATGAGAGAGAGGTTTGAAAGAAACTCATGAATAGGGAAAAGAAAACTGACGGGAGGCAGAGATATAAAAGACCACCTCTTCTGGAGCGCTCATTCCAAGAGCGCTCTGAAAGAATTGATCTTCCGGAGCGCTCTTCAAAGAGCGCTCCGGAAAATAGTCTTCCAGAGCACTTAACTACGAGTGCTCCTGAAGGTCTTTTTAAATTTTTTTATAATATTCTATTTATATTAATTAGGAGCATTATCTTATTGAAAAGCCCTGACATACAGGAGCGCTTTTCTAAAAAAGCACTCCGGTAAATTCCGCATTCACATTTTAGAGCGCTTTTTAAAGAAGCGCTCCTAAATACCCGCTCCTAAAGATATATTCTGTAGTAGTGAGACAAGCGTAAGATCAAAATCTAAAACAATAAAGCTAGTGCATTAGTTTATCCTTTAGTATAATATAGTTGAAAAGACAATTTGATCATGCTTGTTTTCATCTGTAGTTTCAATAATGGATTAATTCTGCTTTAATACTTGTATAACTCTTTGATGCAGATCCCCTAAATCTCAAAACAAGTTATTTCTCTTTAATGCAAATCCAAGATGCCACTAATAACTTTGCCCTAGAAAATAAGATTGGTGAAGGAGGTTGCGGACTGGTGTACAAGGTAATTTTTGACCTATCATATTTATATTTAACCAGGACTAAACAATTGACTAAATTGCAGGGTGTATTATCACATGGTGTTGTGATTGTTGTGAAGCAACTTTCCTCCAAATCAAAGCAAGGGAATCGTGAATTTGTTAATGAAATTGGAACCATATCTGCTTTGCAACATCCAAATCTTGTGAAACTTTATTGTTGTTGTGTTGAAGGAAACCAATTGTCATTGATATATGAATACATGGAGAACAATTGTCTTGCAGGGGCTCTTTTTGGTAAGAATTTGGGTTCTCTACAATAAAATATTACCATATATATTATGTATATTTTGAGAAAATGATAACAAATGAAATAGATTTTACAAGTTTTCTTCAATTTAGTTGTTTTGGAACTAAGATGTAATCGATACTAATGTTAGGTGATGAAAGGCAGAAGCTACACTTGGATTGGCCTGTAAGAATGAAAATATGTGAGGGGATAGCAAGAGGATTAGCTTATCTTCATGAGGAATCAAGGTTGAAAATTGTGCATAGGGATATCAAGGCAACAAATGTCTTACTTGATAAGGATTTGAATGCCAAGATCTCAGACTTTGGCTTAGCCAAGCTTGATGACAAAGAGAATACTCATATTAGCATAAGAATAGCAGGAACAATGTCAGTATTCTATTGTGTCGTTCTACTATATCAATTCTCAAATTTGGCATAGTACAAAGGCTTATTTTGTTTTGTTCTCGTTTTGTGTTTAAAAATTGTTTTGTAAACCAATTTTTAAAAACTATTTTTTAAAATACATTTGATTATATTAATCTGAAAACAAATTTAAAGTTAAAAAAGATTGATAGTGGTAGTCGACAATGGGTAATAATGACGACCTCTAATAGTGGTTGGTTGTAGTTAAATATTATTTATAGTGGTTAAATGTAATGTGCTTTAAAAATGAAAAAGAAAATAGAAATAGGTCTAAGCTGTTTCCATTTCTTTGTTTTTAAAAACATAAAAAGTGGGAACAATTTTAAAAACATTAAAATTCAAAACATTTGACTAAATTATTTTTTTTATTTTTAAAAACAAAAAACAAACAGTCCCTTAATATCAATATGTTTTTTCTCTTTAGACTTTGCTTGCACATTACTTGTTTTATGACTTGATTTGACTAGCTATTAACATTACATGTTTTTTTATTAGTGGTTATATGGCTCCTGAATATGCAATGCGAGGATACTTGACTGACAAAGCAGATGTTTATAACTTTGGAGTTGTTGCTTTAAAGATTGTTAGTGGAAAAAGCAACACAAATTACAAGTCAAAAGAGGAGTTTGTTTATCTTCTTGACTTGGTTAGTCTTACACTTGGCATGTTTGATGCTCAATATATACAAAAGCTTTGTCTCCTTTCAATTTTGTATCAAAAGTGTTCATCCCTTTCTCTAAGACCAAAATCAAATTAATATGTATACTCTTGATAATTAAAAAAAGCATTTTTAACATTAAATAAATTTACAATTTTTCTAAATATTTTTAATCTGTCTATGATGTTGTTACTTGTTAGTCCTTCAAATATAATTTTTCTTTCTATATACAGTCCCTTATTCTAAATGCTTTAATCAATTTTGTTAGGACAAATAACTATTTTTGGAGTCAATCCACTAACATCATTGTCTCTTTTTCTAACAAAGAAAAAACAACGATACATGCATCTTTATAAATTCATGGTCTGATTGAACTTCTAATGAGTACATACTTTTATGTTATTGAAGGTCTATGCTCTTCAAGAGCAAAGAAACCTTCTTGAACTAGTAGATTCAAGTCTTGGTTCAAACTACTCCTTAGAAGAAGTCATGAGAATGCTGGAGGTGGCACTTCTATGCACTAATCCATCTCCAACTCTTAGACCACTCATGTCCTCTGTGGTTAACATGCTCGAAGGAAAATCACCAATCGAAGCAATGATAATCACACACAATGAGGGTGACCAAGATGCAAAATTCAAGGCCTTGGAGATCTCACAAGACAGCCATAGCCAAGCGGTTAATAATTCTCCCTCAATCTCATATGAAGATGTGGGGAACATAGTTGAAGCAATGGATGGTCTAATGGATTGATTCCTCCATTTATCTTCCATGTAATAAACATTTCTCTTCATCTAGTAAGGTTCTTCATTATTCCAACTATGCATGGAATTACAATGATCTTTCATAAATGATAACACAACTATAAAATAGTGTTAAATAAATTAAATAGGATAAACACAAGTATATAAAACAATCACAGGATGCTAGCCAAAAATATTATACAAACGTGATTAAAAAATATCTAATGATTAATATTTTAATTTTTTGTAGTGATTTTTATTTTAAAAGTAATAATCAAATTATAAAATCAATGTTTTTTGCTATAATTGTAGGATAGATGAAATCAAATCCCACAACTAACTCAACTGAATCTATGAATTAATTTATTATAAAAATGAAATCCCAAAACTGATCTGCAACAATATTTTTCAATAGAATTAAGATTAAAATGTATAAAATTTACTGAAATTTGAAACAATTGTATATGACCTTCTCACTTTTTAAAAATTTAAAATTAACTCCTCTAATCTTTAATTTTATTTTCCAAAACCCCTAATAATAATTATATTATTTTTTATAAGGTTTAAAATTTTATTTACAAAATAATTTTATTAAATAAAATATTATATCATTGAATTATAACTAATCAATTTTTTATATTTTTTGAACAGTGATTCAAAGGTCTGGGTGAGTACTGACAGTCTGATACCGAGTTGTGCCTTCCTTAAACCCTAGTTCTTCAAATGTTGTGATTCACTGCTCAGTCCGCTCAACCCCATCCATGGCTTTAGCAAGAAACCTTCTCTCTCGCCGCTTCCATTCCCTCCTGGAACCGCACAATCTCGCTTTCGTCGACCACATTGTCCATTCAAACCCTCTTCGTTCCCGCAAAACCCCTCCTGTCCATTCCAGACCTTTCGCCTCTTCTTCTCAAACCCTGGCAGAATCAGCCCCAACGCATGGCATAAAGACGTTGCATTTTCTCTTTCAGGAACCTTCAGAACGGATAATCGTTTACAGGAAGCTCGAAGGAAAATCGAAACAAGGTGAAGCAGCGCGCTTATCGGAGAAAACAGGGCACAAGGAAAGTGAAGTTGGACGCGTCGAGAAGAAGAAGTCGGAGAAGAAATTGAAGAAATCCAGGGAATCGAAAGTAAAATTTGTACAAGAAGAGGAGGAGGAGGTCGAAGAAAAATCGAAACAAGGTAAAGCCGTGTGTCTGTCCGAGGAAACAGAGGATAAGAAAAGTGAAGTTGGACATGTAAAAGCAGAAAAGAAGAAGCGGAAAAAGAAGTTGAAGAAGCCCATGAAATGGAAAATAAAATTCATAGAAGAAGAGGAGGTCGTTGAGTGGGAGCTCCATGGAAAATCGAAACAAAGTGAAGCCATGAGTTTGTCGGAGGAAACGGAGCACGACAAAAGTGAAGTAGGACGCGTAAAAGACGAAAAGAAGAAGCCGAAGATGAAATTGAAGAAACCTGGGAAAGGGAACTTCAAATTCATAGAAGAGGAGGAGGAGGTCGTTAAGGGGGAGCAACCGAAGAAACCTGAGCCGAAGAGATTGTTTGAATTGTTTAGTCAAGGGGAGAAATCGAACGAAGCTGATCCGAAGAGATTAAGTCCTGCAATCGCTCCTGTTAAAGCGCATAAGGAAGTGAAACAGAGGGAGCCAACTGGTTCGAAGAAGGTTTCGTTGGACATGGAACTATTCCTGTCTTATTTTTACAAAGAAGGGTATTTTAGAGAGACCAACTTTGTCAAGGGTAAAAAGTTTGATCTTAGCTGGTTCGATAATGATTATGCCCGGATTATACATTGTCTGCGGCGCAGAAGTTGGGCAAAGACAAGCAAGAAATCTCCAAGTAAGATAACATTTTTCTGCTCATCCAATGTTGCATGGTTAAACATACATTTGTTTTAGTTATGGAGAAGATGCATATTGAAGAATATGGGGATGAATTTTTTTTTTTAACAGTTTTTGTCTTTCTTTAGTTCCCAGCATTACTCTCTTTTATGTTCTAATACTTGAAGTTTACTCTGTTGAATGTAGATGTTGATTGTCAATTTTTTCCGCTATGGTGATTGGGTTTGGATTTTGGAAGTTTAAGTTAACCTAAACCTGTAGTAGGCAGCTTCAGAGTTGCCCTACTGCACTCTCCTTGGTGGGCTGTTTTTACTTTCTGTATATAACTGGTCTACTATTCAACTTATCGAAACATGTTTGATATTGAATAGGGTTTCATGGCTTGTCTTAAGCCAGAAATATGGGTATTTTAGGGTTCCCTCTTAATTTTTTGCCTGTCTTTTAAAGAAATATAGTTTGAGTATGTTTGTTCTTGATGTTCATCTTATTTGTTGAAACATTTTTGTGAATTCTTGATGTTCATCTTATTTGTTGAAACATTTTTGTGAAACTATCAATTTGAGTTCTTTGGTTATTATTTTTTTTCTTTTTTCTTATTTTAACTTCTAAAATTTCTTTGTGATACTTTTGCTTCCTCTGGCTTTGGCTAAATACCCACAAAACTGACTCTGCCTCAGAATAATAAGATGAATATAGATCTACAGATCAATGATGTCACAAATTTAATTCTTTGAGATTTGCAAGTCTAAATTTCTGCTAGCGACTCTCTAGACAATTTATTAGTGTTATTCTGATTATTCAACCAATGAAGGAAATATAGAGAAGTTATATTATCCTGTTTGCATGAAAATAGGTAAATTAAATTTATTTATTTTTGGGCACAAATTAAGTGAATTACTCTGTTGAAGGAGGAAGCTGTCATAGTGATGTCTAATCCATGGCTTTGTAGCTTTCAATTTCATACTGATCTAAAAAACTGATACTCATCCTAAGTACCAAGTCATTGTAGTGAAGAGTCTTGCACAAAATGCATGCAGGTTTTTGGCAATAAACAAGCATAAATGATTAGAGTTTTCTTACACCCTAAGAAACTTGTACATTTATGGGCACCACTTCTAATGCGATATGCGGTAGCTTGGCCTTCTAGCACATTTTCGTTTCATTGTCAGTATGGTCATTCACAGACCATGGCATAAGGCTTCTACAAACATTATTTCTAGTAGTTTTTTACACTTGTAGCCAATAAGGGTTCTGCATTTTATTTTGCTATTTCTTTTGGTTGAGTTGATGTCATATCAAAAGAATCTGTAGATTTTATATCTGTTCACTAAATTATTAATCATTGGTGAAGCAATACGTTTGGTAGGGATGGTCAGAACTGGATGTTCTTTTCTTTGCTGGAAAAAAGCTTGAATATATGAATCAAAATGAAATGATTAATCTGTGAGCCAAAAGAAAAAAACGTAAGCTTTTGTTAGATTATTTGGAGTATGATTTTGATCCTCAACAGCAATGGTAGCAGTAAACTTTATCTCACTTGGTGAGGTTGGCGATATAAATTGCACAATGCCACTATATTTTGTTGACATGATTATTTATATGTGCGAAACGAATTCATAATGCAAACTTGAGTAAATTGAGTTCCATATGCATCTTTGCCCGATTTTTCATTGCCTATCTGAACAGGCAAGTTACTGAATTTGCATTTTATGTGAATCAATAACTAGGTAAACTTGCTTCCATGGAGCCTTTTGTTTACATGGTACCCTTTTCTCTTTTCTTTTCATTCCTTTTTTTCCCCTTCTCAATAGTGGACTCTAAAATTATTTATATTTGCTGAAATGAAATTGGATTTTGCAGATGGCTGTCAGGAAGTGACTTGAAACAGGTGGCAATGTTTTGCTGCCCCTCTACCAGCAGGTCACAAGTCTTTGCTTCTAAAAGATGGCGAACCTATGAAGCATTGATATGGGTAAGAGTATTGGATATGATACAACATGATATGCGGATACGGCAATTTTCAAAAATTTTAGGATATGAGTACGGCTATATAAATAATTAAATATTAAATATTTAAATACCCACATATTTTGAACAAGCTACTACCTTGTCTAAAATTAGAAGCCATTACCAAATTAATTTATACTAAAAAATTATAAACAATTTCTTGCAATTTTAATATGAGAGGAGCTAATAAAAATTTAAAATAAACAAATAACAGTGTGTGTCTATGTGAGCAATTGAGCATGCCATGATGTAAATTATTTAAATAATAAACAATTTATCTAAATTATCTAAATTTTAGTTTGAGTCTCCATAGTTCACTCAGTTTCAGAAAGCACAATCATTAGCACAAACAAGGCAAGTTTATAGGCTGACTTTGTAATATGACTAGTTGAGCCACAAAAGAAAAGGAGGATGGAAGAGAAGAGACAGACTGAAAGAGGAGGAGAAACAGAGCGACTGCATGATGCGAGTTAACTAGCTGAGCGATGCAAGTTGACAGAGCCATAAAGAAGGACTACTGGGCGAGCGATGGTGACGAAGCCACAGGTCGGAGGGAAGGACAGTGGTAGTTTTAGGGTCACTGGGTGAGACCGTCAAAGACAAAGTGATGAGAGCGACGCAACTCAGGTGAGACCGCAACGCGAGGGATTTAGGAATGAGATAGTCGATGAGGCATGGCATCTGATTTTGAAAGAAAGAAATTGCCAAAAATGCTGTGTTTTATGTCTTGCTCGTGTTTTCTCATTCTCCCTTGTGTCCACCCATTCTCACCCATGTCTGAGCGTATTGGTAAAAAAAAAAAAAAAAAAAAGGGATGCACTGCATCCACGTTCGGGACATGTATCTGTGTCGGATATGTGTTTGACATGGACACGACGTCGTTTTTGGCGTGTTTGTGCTTCTTAGCTGCGAACCTATTTTAAGATTCCAGAGAACACTATAAGACACATCTTGTATAGATATTTTTTGTATATTCCTTCTGGACTATAATATAAGTTGTTTTTTATAAGCTTTGCTTGGTCCAAAATATTGAGCATTAGACAGGTGTTATATATTTTTTTCAATGATATTTTTATTTTATTGAGTAATTAATGAAGGTGTGTTGAATAAGGCAAATGTTATATTTATTATGCTTAAGTGCATAACTGGCAAGATGTGAAAATTTTTAAAAAATTGAATATACACACTTATATATATTACAAGACAAAATATTTCACAAGGCAAAAATTACCACATTACGGTGGCATAAAACCATGTAACTAATTTCAAGTATAAATTAATGCTTGTACATTATTTGGAAGGAGGCTAAAATGATACTTTGTTAGAATATGGGAGCCAATACTAAAAATCAATTCACTAGCTATTGTAATGATCAGAATACTTAAAATATCACATGTTATCTTTGAAAGATTGAGAAATCGTTGTTGATTAGTCTTCCACCAATACAACACATCCAACTTTGAAAATTAATTAAGAGAAAACTTCTTCCAAATAATATTCCAAGTCGGATTTCTCAACAGAATAAACATCCTTATTCTTGAAATTAAGAAAATCCTACATTTAAAACATAAAACGAAAAGTATCAAATAGGGAATTATAAACCTACAATAATGAGATAATGTACATTAAATAAATAAGAACTTACACCATAAAGTTGAGTCCAAGACATGGTTAGTTCATTCTTCTACTTTGCCATCCTTCCCTTGTGCTTGAGCTTGGTTGACTTTGTGTTGGAGTTGAATTTGATGTGACATTAATGGAAAATCCACCCATATCTTTGTATTGATCAAAGATATAATACAACTTTTGTTTGATATTATTAACTTTTATGTATTAATTCACAGGAACAATTAGAGAGAAAGAAACTTGATTGCTTCAAGCTTTGCTTGTGGATCAAAAACACTTCCAATTGAAATGATCACACTATAATCACTCCAATAATTGTCAAATTTATCCTTCATTCTAGCTGTCATACTAGAAATCACAAGATCACGATTGCTAATGGGATCATTTAACAAAACCTTAACTTTTGCTATTTGTCCAAAATACATATTTGAGGTTGGATAGGATGTGCCAAAAGCAAAGTTGTAATCATTACACGTAGTTGTAAGAAAATGCACATTTCTTTTGCTCTCCTCCACTCTTCATGAATGCTTAAAATTAGTGACACGACAAGACATGTAAACAAAAGATCTTTTATATCTAATTCCATTTTCAAGCATATCACAAGTGGAATTCCATCTAGTAGGCACATCTAATCACAATCCTATTGAGGTGTCAATGCCACCAACTTGCTCAACACACTACCTGAAAATTTTCATCATGGACTCAAGCATCTTAACATACTTAATGCTATCTCGAATTTTATTTATTACAATATTTGTCAGCTTTTGAACCTTCTTGAACTATCAAGTTTAAGATATGTGCACAATACCTCACATGAAAGAATTTCCCATCACAAATCAAGTTATTTTGCAAAATTAACCTCTCTTTCAAGATCTCAGCCATACAATCAATTGTAGATGCATTGTTTAAAGTAATTGTAAAAATTTTCTTCTCAATCCCCCAATCACTTAAGCTTTCAAAAACTTTGCTAGGTAATTCCTTCCAGAATGTGGAGGCTCCATTTTACAAAAAGAAAGTATTCTACTTTAAGTGTCTAATTTTCATCCATAAAATATGTTGTCAAGCAGATATAACCTTCAAATGTTACAACAGTCTAACAATCAGAGGTCAAACATATTCTAGGGCTCTTTGATAACATCATTTTTAACTTGTCTTTTTATACCTCAAACAATTTTCTAATATCTGATACAATAGTTTTTTTACTCATAATCTTAACATCAGGATTATATTTCTTAAGTAACTCCCTAAGAAGAGGAAATTCAATAAAGGAACATGGCAAATCATGTGCAACAATCAACATTCCCTACAACTTCCTTATACGTGGATTATTGATTTGTCTAGATCTTACATTGCCTTGATTATCTAATATCATCAAGCCTACATTGTGGAACTTTGGAAGAGCTACACATTGCTTAATATGATGATTCAGATGTAAAGTGCCATAATTTCCACCACATGCTAATAAAGTGCCACAACCATTACACTTTGCCTTTGTTACCCCCATTTCATTAACCACTTTAGAGAAAGATTTTCAAACATTTGAGGTTAAACTTTTTGCTTTCTTAGGTGGTTTTAGGCTACATGTAATAAATTGGGTGGGAGTTGATTCTCTTTTATCATCCCCCTCAACTGACTTCTTACTAGTTTCATTACTTTCAGCACTAGAGGATGACATACTGTGCAAACAAGTATAAACCATATAATCAAAATTAAAAACCATACATCAAAGCTCAGACTAACAGCATCATATCACATAAGAAAAAAATCAAGACACAACATCAAAGCAAAGATAGACAACATCATTATTTAATCAGGTGAACAAGTTATTTTCTATTATCAGGGGTGTATAATCCAAATCAAAAAATCTAACAAGGTTAATCAGGTGGGTGAATAATTAGGTGTGTGTAATCAAAATAAAAAAAACCTATGATACGTTGGAAATTGACTAACCTAGTGAAAGCGAGAGGAGAGATTAGGAGAGACAAGAGGCAGAGACATGAGGCATGAAGGAGAGTAGAGTAGAGTCTTTGGGGCAATTACAGGACAATGGTGTGGAGGCATAAGGGCATGATTGATGAGGCAGGATGATGGTCGATGGACGAGCAAGAGGGAGAAGCAATTGTAGGTTCAGGGTGACGAGTTGTGATAGGAAGAGGTTGCGAGACTAAGAGACGGGAGGTGAGAAGGAGAGCTGAGTAGAGTCAGGCGAATGAGAACAAGAGGCGTGAGGCAAAGGGGCAAGGGTGACGGTGTGAGGTTGAGGAGAAGCGATCGCAACTCGGAGCTCACAAGTTCAGGGTGAGGATTGAGGAGTGATTATTGATTAAGGACTTAGGGTTCACGGTGTGAGACTTCAGTTTTTTTTTTTGTTTTTCGATTAATACTAAAAAACGTGAGACTTCAAACTTCACAGTAAGGCTTTGACCCAAAAAAAAAAAATCACACACGCTCTGTACTTTTGTTCCACTCAAAAAAATAATAATAACCTGGCTTGAAGGGTTGTCCAAACCTGAGTTTTTTTTTTTTACAGAGTTTATCAAAGCTAGGCTCTTAAGCTCGATTACTTTTTAAAAAATAATAATTTTCAAAACTCGAACCCTTATTCTCGACTCTAATTAAAAGTATACTCTAACCAAATTATACATATATACTCCCTCTGTTAAAAAATGTAAGATATTTTTTAGGAGAGTTAGATGTTCAAAAATGTAAGGCATTTTTAATCTTTTGAGGTGTAATCATTGCTTTTTTCTTTTAAAGTGTCTCTATTGATGAATGACTTTATATTTATTGTAGAGTGTTTAATAGAGGTAAATGTAAAAAAATAGGGTTAATTTGAAAGTAAGTAATAACTTTATTGAGGGTGAGATTAGATTAAAAATGTTTTATATTTTTAAACGGAGGGAGTATATATAATTCATTATGAGGTATGAAATTATAATTAAAATCTGATTTGGCCAGCCAGAATAATGGCGGGAGATCAGGATAGATACTCTATATTCCTATAGCTATTGTTGTCATTATATTTCAGCTTTTCGTTATGATAGGAAAAAGTTTTAAAATTGTATTTATTCTTACATATAAGGTCAAAATATAATAGTTAATATTTTCTTTCAATGTTACTTTTTTTCTTAACTGCACCAAATAGTTGACAAATTTTTAATTCCTAGACACATTTTATTGTCGTTGTTAGTTTCAGTGGCGAGTGAAGGGCAAAATTAGAAAGTCACATGTTTTTCAAGCCTAAAAATTTTAACTATCATTTGTTAAAAATCACAAAATTAATTAATTTTATTCTATAATTAGGACCGAAGGAGAATTACATTACCTTTCTATATTTCTATTATAATACTTAAACAATGAACAATTTATTTATAATTTATAACTTTTGTAATATCTTTGTTAATTGGTAGTGATTAGTAGAGATAAAAAGCTTTAATTGATAATTACCTTTTTGGACTAATTAAATCACATTCAAGCCATAGTAAAATTAGTAATTGATCCTGATTTCCAAATCACAAAATTGTATGAGAGATTCCCTTTTTTTTTTTTTTTTTTGGAAAACCGAAACATATAATTATAGAAGTTCTCCCATGAATACCCTAACAGGTAGTCTAGCGACTTACACATCTTGATATTATTAAAGCCAGGGCCAAGTGAATGAATATAGGTGCTCATTATAATTAAGCTAAGAGCACTTAGCTAATTGCAATCATTTTGTCCTTGCTTATCACTTTCACATGGCCTCTTCTTCTTTCTTAACTCCTCTATTGGTTTTTGGCACCAATTCACTCTCATCCAAGTGGCGACTCTAATATATATGTGTGTGTAATATTGCTCTTAATTACTTCTTCCGGTTTAAAATATAAGTATTTTCTGTCAATTAATTTTAATTTAAAATATAAGTAAAATAGTACATGTAAATTTTTTTTATCACATTCTTCCCCTTATATTTATTAACCTAGGTATATGTAAATGCATATTTCACTCATCATATATATCTTTATAGAAATAAGGACTTTATTGGTTTGTAAAAATTTTTAAAAAGCTATTTATGCTTTGAACCGGAGGCAGCATTATGGATGTATGAATCTGTCGGTGCTTGCTGTAACTTGAAGACAAGAAACGTTTCGGTTTTGTTGCATCTTAATCATCAACATTTGCTCAACAGATGTATTAGCTTTAACTTTTTTAAAAACGGAAACTTGTAGGGTATCCGCTTTAACTTTTTCCTTCATTCTTATCTACCTTTCACGTCTCCGTCTCGGCTTCTCCCTCTCAATTAGGGTCTCACTGTATCTAATTTTTTGTCTCAAGTTAAAATCATGTCATGCAAATCATCATCATATGGTTTGAACTTTCTTAATATAAATTTATAATCCCAATCTCCAACAATAAATAAAGCTTCCAACACACCTATGTGTAATGGTAAGTTTAAATTTCACATGAACATATAATAAATTTACCAT